AAACGACCCACAGAAGACAAATGATGACAGACTGAATGATCATTTTGTCATTTGTTCGTGTGCTGTGCCATCAGTCTTTGTCCTCAAGTGAAGCATCTGAATCATGATCACAGCTGAAGATGAACTTCATTTGTCTGCTTGATGAAGTCTGTGCATCAGATGTTTCACTGAGAATAATCTCCTCCGTTGTGTGATTCTTTCAATTCGATATGATTAAATGTGGGAACATTTCACTTTTTTGACTGGATGCTCGGAGTATACAGTGGGTACGGAAAGTATTCAGACCCATCCAACCTGGCAGAACTGGAGAGGATCTGCAAGGAGGAATGGCAGAGGATCGCCAAATCCAGGTGTGAAAAACTTGTTGCGTCTTTCCCAAAAAGACTCATGGCTGTATTAGATCAGAAGGGTGCTTCTACTAAATACTGAGCAAAGGGTCTGAATACTTAGGACTTGTGATATTTCAGTTTTTCTTTTTTAATAAATCTGCAAAAATGTCAACAATTCTGTGTTTTTCTGTCAATATGGGGTGCTGTGTGTACATTAATGAGGAAAAAAAATTAACTTAAATGATTTTAGCAAATGGCTGCAATATAACAAAGAGTGAAAAATTTAAGGGGGTCTGAATACTTTCCGTACCCACTGTAACTTTGACACAGTGCATCACTCCATCATATTTACAGTAGTTTGTACACAGTATTCACTGACAGACTCGCTCTTCTTTCCATCGGGAATGAAACTCCAGCACTAAACGCTGAAGGAACATCTGACGTCTTCAAGAGACTCACAGAATCAAGAGAAGAAACAAAGAACATCCACTCAGGGGAAAAAGAAAGGTTTTTATTTAAGAAACAATATGTGTATATAGGAGTGCGAGAACAACCAATCACTTAAAAACTACTGCTGAATGTGAAACGAGTTCAGAAACGCTGCTGTGCCACCAAACGCATGAAATCATAGAAAACCATGAGAAATCACAACCTAGATCCAAAAGAGCTGCTGCCTGCCAACAAATGAGGGACGACTGATGAACGACTAAAACAAGTGAAGGTCTGAATCTGAACGATGACTGATCTGCACACGCACACTGTGCTGTCTAACTAGGGCGCGTGAGATTGAATCACCGGTGACCAGCAGAAGGTCTTCACTAGAGTCCACAGAGGAGAAGAGCAGAGAGATCCAGTAACCCCAGTAAAGCCCAACGGTCCCAGAATGCAGGAGTGATCCCAGCGCTGACAGCTCCCTCCTCACGCCGTCTCGTCTCGCTCGTGTGTCCGTCTGAGGAAGAGGAATGATCCGGGAAACGTTTCCCTTTCACCTCGTCCAACTCAAAGAGGAGAAGCGAAGCTAAACGAATGTCCCTTTATTACACAGCAGGACCCGATCGGTCCCGTGCCAGTTCTGAGAGGAGGTGTGAGTGTCCCAGCATTCCCAGAGAGAGCTCGGGTCGAGGGCATCTGTCACCGGCGCTGATGGACCGTCACTGGCTGGGTTTGGTCCCGCTGTCCTTCTCTCCGCCTGCAAAACAACATCATGAGCAGAGAGATAGATTCACAAAGCATGTCTGTAATCAGGAAGATGATGATGACACTCTCTTACCGGCGGAGCTGCTGTGGTGAGCGGAGGACTGAGCCTGCTGCCTGTGAGGAGATCAGACCGTCATCATTACTCAGGACTGATCACAGACGATCACAAACTCACAAGCGCTCACCTGTCGAAGTAGGCCTGTCTCCTCCTGCGCAGCTCCTCCGCTGTCAGCGCCTGCTCCTCGCTGCCTCCTGATTCCTGAGACGAGCCGGCCGTCACAGCAGGATCGCTGCCACCTACAGAGTGCGAGAACAGCAGATCAGAGCTGGAGCACAACTTAGAGCTGCACGGTGTCTGGTGAAGTTCTGCTTGTGAACGAAGAAGTGTTCTTCAACACAACTCTTAAAAGGGTCATGCAACATTACACTAGATATTCTGAGATTTTAACAGTGTTGCACATCAAAGACAATGGCAACTGTTCATTTGAATTGTTGCAGAATTTTTCTTTGTTCGGTTTTATCTTCCAGGTTTACAATCGTCATCATGTCAGAGGATGTGATGTTTTCTTACACTCGTAGTCAGAGCTGATAATTAACACTCGCCAAATGCATGTAGAAATGAGTGCTGGTGAGTTTATGAAACAGTTGGACTGTAACTTTTTTAATTAGTTCTAACGATGCCCGAGAACGTGATGTGGTTTCTCTAGGGTGGCCATCTGTCCAGATTTGAGTCGGACGCTCTTTTGTCAACCTTTTAAGATCAGCACTATTTTGTATGATGGTCTATGATTTGTAAGTAAGTTCAATAATATGTTAATTTGAAGTGACGTACATTTTAGTAGATAATCTTAGACAAAACAATCATTTAATCTGCGATCAACACAGTGGTGTTTCCTTCCTGAATGATTCAGTGATTTTGAACAAATCGAGTGAGTGATTCAATAAGCCATTCATAAAGGCTAAGTTGTGCTAAATTCAAAACTGTACACCTACTATTTCAGCATCTCTTTCCATGGCATAAATAACAAGAGTAGTATTCTAGTATGTGCTTCTGAAATGAGCAAGTCACTGAACTAGTAAACTGATGATTGGAACAGTGATTTGTCGTCACAGTTTCACATTTAAAGTATCATTTCATAGTTTATATTTTAGCACATTATTTATGCAATTGTACCTGCAGTGTCAATGCATTCATGGCATCTATGAGCTGCATCAAACAGTCCATGTAAATACATCTAAATTCTTCTGAAGTGCAAAGATGGATTTTGTTGATATCGATTGCATTTGATTGGTAACGTTCTTCTAACGTTGTTTTGCTGCGATGAGCAGAAGAGACTTATTTAAAAAACATTACAAGTCTTACTGATCCCAAACTTTTGAGCGGTAGTATATCTGACAAACTTCATCTGCAATAAAGACAGCAAACAGTGCGTGAGAGTCACAGGAATCAGAAAGTACGACTGCTCAGTTTTCAACTCCTCCCTCGATTTCAAGCGTCAAATCTCGGCGATCAGTATTCGGTAAGTTTGTTTGAGATGCCAGATGCCTCTCCCTGAACGAGGACGAGTGTAGACAGCAGCAGTCATCCTCTAATCGTATTTGTGGCAGAGGTATAAGTGTTTGGGTGAACTCCATGCTGGTAGCGACAGCGCTTACTATGCTGGCGGAAGTAAGAATACCCTGCTTCACATCAGAACGGAAGATGCGTGACGTCATGTGAATAGGGTCTATTGCACTATTGTTATATAATAAAATAAAAATAAAAAATACGAAATAAAAAAATATGAACATAATAATAAAAAAATTGCAAAAATCTGCCAATTTTAAAGAAATAATGCACATAACTGAACGTATGGCACCGGGGCAGAGATCTGAACATACTGCATGTGTGTTTCTCACCCTGCATGCTGAGTTGAATGGCTCTGCGCAGGTCGGCCTCCTCGTCCTCCACCTCCATGCCCTGTCTGCTGAGAGCCAGAGCCTTCCTCAGCTCCTCCTCATCCTCATCCAGCAGCACTTCATCTGCGGTGTGTCCGGGGTCTGACGTCTGCTGCACTGACATCCTGATCAACGGCACACACTCAAACCCATCAGTGACAGCTGTGTGCATCACGCGCTTCTCTGCCTCCGTTTCATGCATTGAAATCATTTGATGCACACACAGCCATGGCTTACTGCTCAAGTATTCAACCCTCCTGCTGTGCTGAAGTTCTGCTGCTCTGTTTGTGCTGTGGATCACATTCACATTCCCATGCAATTTGCCAAAAAACAACACTATCTCACACTTATTCACACTTACTTTCAGTGCTGCAACTCAGTTCCTAAGAACTATTAACCAAAAACATCCTTTCACTGATTTTCTGACTGTGAAACTCTAACAGCGACTTCTCCATTTGAGTCTTCAATTTCAAGTAAACTTTGAGTGTTAAATTTAATAAGTTCTCATTTATTTTATATTTTAATCTTTGACAGGCTACAATAAACTGCGGTTTTTCAAAGTGTTGATTTTTGGTGAATTGCATGGAAACCAGGCTCAATTCGACCTCTAACACCATCACAATCACCAAAATTTGCTCAGCCTTTCCAAAATATATCTGTGTTGAAACTCTGCAAGCACATGCATGAGCAAGAAGAAATAAATAGTTTAACGAGTGTTTCAAGCAGTTCACAAATTGAACTTCGAAATTGCTTTTGTTCCTCTTTTGTGAATCACTTAGGATAAAAGAGTCTGCCAAATGCATCAATGTAAAGGTAACTGAATGTGGGTCAAACTGACCCACTGCACAAGAGGAGGGTGAAGATTCTTGTCTTGTTCTGTGTGTCATGTGATGACGGTCAGTGCACCTCTGGGCCTCGTCCTCTCCGATCAGCTTCGGCCGCTGTTGTTGCTCCACTCGCATGATCCGCAAAATCTGATCGGCTTCACACTCTGGCAGGCTTCCCCGGATCACAAATATGGAATAACCTGCAGAGACGTTCAGCTGAGCTCAATTTCCAGCATTATCACTGCCACATGCATGTGGATGCACCATGATCAGAGGTCACGCAACACATGATCATGTATGAGTTTTACCTTCCTGCTGTAGCTGCGCTAAGAAAAGAGCCAAGTATGTGTCTGATATGAGCTCCGGTCCGGTCAGCAGCGAGTTCAGATTAAACCACTAGATGAAGAGAGAGAAACAGGCCATAAACTCGACATCATTTCAAACTGACTCAGACTAATTCTGCGGGTAAAACACGTACCTGCTGTCCCAGCTTACGCACCGTAAACCAGTGCTCCTTATAGTTACATATAAAGGCCTTCTCATGTCTGAAAGCAAACATGAAGAGGATGAACAGTCACACAGTGGATAAAAGGACTAAAGATAAAGGTCTCAGAAATACTCACATGGGATCGATCCGTAACTGCTGGTACTCTCTGCTGTTAAACAGAATGATCTCCAAACCCCAAACCCCCAGAGCATTACTGATCACCTGCAAAACACAGCGCATCCACTGAAGACACCATCAAAACACAGCGCATCCGCTCAA